TGATTTACATTTTTATTCCCAATGAGAAAAGCTTAAGAATGTTTTTAATGCATGTCCAGCTTGAAACCCGCTGCAAATGTCTTACAACGTTTCATAACAGGCTTTTCCCATCTGTGCTGAAAACAGCTGATGATTTAATGCAAATTGTGATTGTTTCACAATCTCCCAGCCATCTTGTCTATTTTGTTACGGGAGTTGGGGTCTCTTCTGTATCTGCTTCAGAAATCCGGCCGCGAGGATTGGTTTTTTGTTGTGGCCACTCTCTGTTCTATTGCCCCTTATTTTCCTCATGTTTCAGATCCTACTCATCTAATATATATATTTTTTAATTTCCACTGTCTTCAATCTCATGTGACTCTTCTGAACGTGAAAACCTGGCTTAGACATGAATACCTTCCAGTCAAAGAGATTTAAATAGTGAAGAAAAGGATCCAAAGCATGGAACAGTGGTTATCAACAAGGGACCCGGTGGGGTCTGCAAACTCACATGGAAACCTGGCATTGTCTATTTCAATAGGTATTTGAAATTCATAAACACTGGGCCTAAAGTGTGAACAAGCCATTATATTTGAATCACATAATGTATATATTTATAATAGGTAATATATGCATTTGTGATTTTCAAGTGTATGTAAATGGTATTGTGATTAATAAAATTTATTTTAAGGCATTGCTAACTTCATAACTCCTTGGACATTATGTTGTGTTTCTTTACCCAATCCATGAGTTATCATCAAGTAAGGAACTTAATATTGTTAAAAACAAAAAGCTTCTCTTTTGATAAAAACTTTACACCGCAAAGCTGGCTGCAGTCAGGACAATGGGTTTTGTGTTCTGATGGAGCTGCTCACTGCTGCTAAGCACAGACTTGGGGAGGCTCGATTTCCTCATGTGTAAAATTGGACTTTCGCTTCTCTAACCTGCTTCATGGGGTTTGGAGGCTCAAAGAGAAAAGATGAGAATGTTGTGCACATTGTAAAGGGCTACATGACTAAATCAAGCAAACAGAGTGGGAGCCAGGGGCAGCCTACATATGCTGATTGCAGCTTCAGATTTTGTAGAAATGCTTGGGTTGCCTGGACCAGAGCAGAGGCTCCTTGGGCTCAGATGGGAGTCAGGCCAAACAGATAAAAGGAAGGAAAGTTTGGAAATGGAGTTGAAGGTTGGGGCATGTGTAGGGCAAATTCACTTTGAGGCTTCACAAGGCAAGTTCAAAGGTTCGCATTATTCCAAAATACCCCGCATTCATTGGCGAGCCCTAATCTGACCCGTCTCCAGGTCCTTAGGTTAATGTTTTCACCCATTTCATCCCAATATAAACAACTGTGATAAGTATGTTGCCACTGACAGCTAGAGCTGAATAAAAGCAAGTCAGATATGAACTGAACCCTGAAACCAGATCATTAGCCAAGGTCACGATTGGTTTAGAAATTTGTGTTGTTTTCCTTCCTGTCACTTGCCAGCAATATATGGCACTTTTCCCCCTTGTAGTTTGCAGTCGGCTGGGCCCTGAGCCATGGAGACTGTTTTTAATGGCAAAATCTTCAAAGTTGTACTTAAAATATTTGCATCATAAAATCCCTCATGGAAGCCAAACTTCAGCTTCAGGAGGAGCCTTCTAGCAAATGGCAAACTTGCCTTCGGAGACAGGAGAAGGGTTCCTGCCACCCGTACCCCCTTCCCGCCGTTGATCCGCCGAGGCTGATGACACCCCGGGGAAGAGCGTCGGATCATCATGAGACATCCGCACTGTCTGGGAACAAACTCCAAATGGCATTTCTAAGCCAACAACAGTGTGAGGTGACTCAGCAGTTAGTTGAGCAATTCAGAAAAACGTGTTTTTCACACATTTAATTGATCCTGTGAGCAAATAAGCACTGAGGATGAAAGATAAGTAATTGTTCAGACTCACTGTGGGAGAGCTTCACCCTTATTTCTTGTACTTTTCTCCTGCATCCAGTATGGAACAGACCTATCTGGGCAGTGATGGGCCAGTGCGCATAGGATTTGCTTTAAAAAATTCAAAGTCAGAAAACAAAAACCAATCACTTAAATCTGAATTCAGAAAGGAAAAAAAACAACAACAACAACCTGTCTTTAGCAAAGGATGCTTGATCTTAAAGGACTCATAATGGAATCCTTTAAAAATGAAATTCTGTTCTATGGGGTTTAACCCAAAGAAACAACAAGTATGGACAAAGGACACCCATATATTTTGTTCTTGGCTGCATCGGATGTGGAAGCTGGAGGAAGAGGAAGATCAGGGGAGACGAGTGCTGGCTGGGAAGATGGTGAATTTTGGAGAAAAGAACCCATCTAATGGGAAATAAGTCCCTTCTATGTGGAGTGCAAGGACACTCTTCCCTCTTCCCCATGAGATCTAATGTAAAATACCGGTTTCTTGTTAAAAAAAAAAAGAAAAAGAAAAGAAAACCTTATGCTCAGAATTACAACCTTCATCCTCCATACATTTAAAAGAAAAGTCAATTTACCTCAGCCAGCTCTGTGATCTCGTCATTACTCAGAGCTGAAGGGGGTTTCCCGTTAAATCACCTGTCACTCGCACTTCTGACCTGTGAACGTTCTTATTAGCTGCCTTATTAAGATGATATCCTGTCTCTAAAGTAAGAAAGGAAGATTATCTCCTTATTTGACATGTCATCAGTGGAGTAATCTTTGTTAAAAAAAAAAAGAAGAGGAAGAAGAAAGAAGAAGAAGAAGAAGAAGAAGAAGAAGAAGAAGAAGAAGAAGAAGAAGAAGAAGAAGAAGAAGAGGAAGAAGAAAGAAGAAGAAGAAGAAGAAGAAGAAGAAGAAGAAGAAGAAGAAGAAGAAGAAGAAGAAGAGAAGGAGAAGGAGAAGGAGAAGAAGAAAGAACTGAGTTACATAGACATTGAAATTCCTGGCACACTGTGTTACCCAAGGAAGCCCTCCAGGATGGAATATACTCAGAGGTAGTTAGTTGGACCTTACTGCCTTATTCTTCCATGACGAGCAACCAAAACCAGAAACAAAGTACTCTCTGCCTCATCATGGGTTGATTTCAACTAGGGCAAGACCTGTGTGTGTGTCAAGGACTCACGGGATGAAATAAGAAACACATTAAACTAACCAGACTAATAGAGACAAATATAGAATTACATGTGCATTTTGCACATGCTATGTATGCCTGTTCCACGATATACGTGGAAATGTGTACTTTCTGAGAAAAACTATTGGAGAAAGGGGAGCAGTCTGGAAGATGGTGGCCGTACTTGGGCAAATCACGAGCAATGATGTGGACAGAGGAGCCTGGTCTCTTACCACTGGCCTTGTTTTCAGACTCACGTGGGCACATGATCTCGAAGCTCACTGCTGGCAAAGTGGTCTGTTTGCTTATTTGCTGCCCTTCCTCAACATGGGGTTGCAGTAAATCAATTACCTCCACACAAAGAAACAGAAAATTCATTTGGTTTGTGGTCTCTGATTTGATATATTTGACTTCTTTGGCAGGAGAAGTGAGAAGCCAAGGTCCCACTTTCCTTCCTATCAGGGGGAGAGCCCTGTCAACCATGGGATGCTTTGACATCTGAGCTATCTCTGGTCTAACCAGCCACAGGGAGAAGAGACAGTGGTGGTGTTTAACTTACATACGATACAGATACCTTATATGATATTATTTGATAATTTATATTTGTAGATTTTCTAGAGTCTTAAGGGACCAAGAGTGGTGATAATGTGACTGTGGGACCATCTTTTCTAAGGGACAGCTGACTCACTCCACTTCTATCCTCACCCGAGTGCAGGCCATGGTGGGGTCGCCTGCCCCCTTGCATGGATTGGGACTCCTACCAGAGGGAGCAGAGTCCAGTGCACCTGCTGACCACACCCGGCCTGGCTCTTGCTATGGATACACTTTTCCTGTGATCCCAGAGAGTCCTTGGAAAGTGCTCTGGAGCCAGAGGGTAGTCATGTAGACAAGACTGCTGGTAGGGCATATTCCCACTTCTGTGCTGACTCATTTCGAGTCCTACTTCTCCTATCAGTGTGGCTCAAATTGTCAGTTTTAATCTGCAAATCCCTTTGTGATTTGGGTCCCCACAACATTCAATATTACCTCTCCTGTTCCACCTCTCACTGTCAGTTGAGACAAACAACCTGCGAGTTTTGGCATTTGCAAAGGGCCTCCTGGTCAGTAGGAAAATTAACAAATCTGTCCATCTTCTCTTTGCTACTTTCCCACACCTTGCACGCATATAAGAACCCAAGATGTGTTATTTTCTTGGCTTGCTCTACACCTCTCGTTACTAATCCTGAGGTGACAGAATAGGATTTAGTGACAGGCTGAAGGCTGCTATGACAACCAGCTGATGCAGGCACTCCACACGGAGGGCATTTTCAACAGATGTGGGCAAAGCTTGCCCTCTGGGTGGGGGCCGCGTGGCTATCTGTGCACGAGATGTACAGAGGGACGTGGTGCCCTCTGTGCCTTCAGAGCCCCCCACACAGGTTAATGAATCCAAAAGAAATAGCAAAGCCTTATTTTATAATTTGGGAAATAAGAACTGGTTGGTTTTGGAAGCAGAAAAGAATCTGGACCTTTCTCCGGGCTCACAGTATGCAAGGCTGGGACTCCCTCAAAACGCTTGGCTTGCTGAAGTGATCCAGAGGGAGCAAAGGACAATAATGGGAATATGATGTGGCTCTCTGTACAATTTTTCTCTTATGTAGCTCTAGAGTATTGGCTCCTTCAATTCTGAACTCCCTGGGCTCCTTTTGGCAGCCTGGGTCTTCCAGTAAACTCATTAAGAAGGTCCCTCTTTCTTTCCTTCCCCATCTCTCCTCAGGTGTTCAAGTAAGCAGTCAATCACCCACCTCCACGTCTGCACACAGACAGATAGAAGGAAACTTTCAACTTTTTCTAAATACGAAAAAAAAATCACATCTGCTAATACACTTTAAAAAACCCACACAAACCACCCAGCAAGGAGTTTCCACAGGAATACTACAGACGCCACAAAGAACAGGAAGAAATATGCCTTTTATTAGAAGTCTCATATGTACAGGGAAAGCTGTTTCTCACAGCTCAGGGAAGGCTGTGAGAAAGAGCCACTGTCATCCAAGGTCACCGTGCTGACATAGGTAACACCGTTGAGTATCGCCACACATTAGGAACACATAGAACCGTTACACAGAAATGCAAAAGAGACAATAGGTACGTGTGGACACTTGACATATTTTCTAAAAACAAGTGGACATAAAAATACAATGTGCCAGAAAAAAAAAATATATATATATAGGCATATCAGTACTTGTCTTTTTTGTTTGTTTGTTTTCTTTTCTTTTTTGTTAATACATGGTATGCTGAGCTTTCATCTCAAGCTTTTCTCACATCGGGATGTGCAGGCACTTTAGCAACCCAGCCATGGTTTACACGCAACGTTCAGACCGACCACCGAAAACACGGGAGCATCTGAGGTCCTTGTGACCCACACACACCTTACAGTATTGACACGAGAGCAAGCTTTTGTTACTATTGTCTGGGGACACCAGAATGTTCGCTGTGTGAGAGAAGAGCTTTTCCCTATTTGACTTGTTTGTTTTGGGGCAGAATTACTTCGGAGCACGGATGGCATCACCAGGCAGACATACAGCATGTGGGTGCACTAGACAAAATGTCATTTCCAACTGACTTTAAAAACTGTAGAGAGCAGATGAGTCTTGAGAATCCCAAAACAACTGTCTGATTTATCTTTGTCCCACTCTATGCCCTTCCTGCCAACCTGTCAAACGAAAACTAATTAAAATAATTACTGGGATGTTGTGGGCCAGAAGCTCATCCTGGGAGAATTCTTTTCTTAGCTCCCACCTCCCACATCACGATACACACAGGGCCGGTGGGCAGGCTCCATCGTTCCCTGACCGGGAATCACTCCCTCCCCCACGCTCCCCACACAGCGCTGTGCTGACTCAACACACGTGTCAGGAACATGACTGAACAAGTGTATTTATAAACATGGACTAGAATGATCACTTTATTGGTAATGTTGAGTTATAAGGCAGTTGCAAAAGGAACCCCATGATAACCAGACAGCGTTGGATATGGCTTAGCTTCTTTCAGGGGATGAAGGAACTTTCCTGTGGTGAGGAGCTGAGAGAGAACAGGGAAAACCATGCTGATTACAAAGTACTATAAATGACTGTGCTGTGAAGTACCATAAGGCCCCAATTTCTGGGGTCTGTCACCCGCTTGGATCCACCAGATTGGGACGTCGCCTCACATGAAAGAAAACTGAAAAGGGGAAAAAGAGGGATCAGTATCACCCTCAACTTCAAGGTAATTTGTCACCACAAATTGTCGGGGGCTGTAACACAAAACCACGGACAGCTCACGGTGGGGGGCGGGGGCCCACAGTCCTGGAACTTCAGAGAGATGCAGAGCACATGAATGCCTTGAACAGATGATTGTCGGATGGCGGGAAATCCTTCCATGAAACAGACACTTGAGACATAGTGGCAAAGACATTAAGGCCTTCCATTTCTTTGCCCATACTGCTTAAAGGCACTGATACCAACAACAGAAATATTATTCCATAGTACCATCGAGGTTTTAAAAAAACTCCCAAAATACAAGTCTTCATAAGAAAATGTCCTTTATTGCATGACATGAAGCCTCCACTCTTCTCCTGCTCAGGAATAGAAGGGTTTCCCTTTCTCAGGAGTCTGGAGTCTGTTCAGCCTGGCGACCTGAGAAGGGGAGGGGGGCACATCCTGCCGGAAGGGCCCCTTGGGCGGGGTGTAACTGGGGTCTTGGACTTTCTTGTATGAGTCATAGTTGTTGAGCCCCTCCGGAGGAGGGGGCTGCTTCTTCATCTGCTGCTCTTTCCTCCTCTGCTCCTGGCGAAGGAGCTCCTGGGTCTCCAGCATCACCCTGGCATTGAAGCCGTGCCCACCCAGGTAGCCGTTCCTGGAGCCTTGGTAGCTGGAGTACCTGGGGTTCTCCTTGGCACTCTGGAAACCTTCCCCAGGGGGGTAGTTCTGCTCCCAGGAATCCTGGGACACAGAGCTGGCGTTTTTCCTGCTTTGCCTAGAAAGCAAATCCCAAAGATTAGTGTATGAGCGTTGGGAGAAGGGGAGAGAGAGACAGGAAGAGAGGAGGGAGAGGGCTGGGGGTGGGGTGGGGGGTGAGAGGCGGGAGAAGTAGAATATGCATTTGAATCTCTCAACCAATGGGGCCATGCTGCAACTGTGCATCAGCCACAGTGATCGGGGCCCCGGAGGGTTAAAACAGGACTGTCCCCGACAAACAATGGCAAGACGGGAGAGAGAGCTAAGGGATTCGGCGGCATCCAGCGGAAGGGTCCTCCGACTGTGTCTGGGTAGGCACTGCTTGTTCTGCTTAGGGTAACCGTATTGTTCTGCTTAGGGTAACCGTATCTCCTCCCATTTAGACACGTTGGCAAGACGCTGTATGGGAGTATTAGAGATCTGGCAGCTTCTACCCCAGCCATAATTGCTCGTTTTAGAACGTTACAATTCAATCCTAAACAAGCAAAACAAATATTTTACACAGCTGCCTCCATAATGCCCGAGACTCGAGCTAATACGAAGTGACTATAATGGATTACAGTATGGGTTCAGTTATGAAAGATTTAAGTCTAGACGCCCTATATGATTAAACAGGCAACAGGCAGTCCCTTAAAGCCCCAGCTTTCAAGATGTATATGTCAGCAACTGACACTCTTCAGAAAACATGCCCATCACACTGGTAAAACCTGGAAGGCTGGAGAGTAAGCACTATTTTCCTATACACCATACCCTCACCGAAGGCTGGAATCACCTATTTCACTCGCTTTCTGTCACCCCGGGATAGGGAAATAAATCAGAGTCATACAGAAATTTCAAAGTCTTATCACTTCTGCAATAAAGTTGCACATCATTTTCAGGAAACATTATTGTTTTGAAACATCTTTAATTTACTATCAAGTCTCTAGATGCTTTTATGAATTTACAATAAGATTGGCTATGATAAAGTAAGACAATTTTGTGCCACAAAAGAAGACATGTCCTAATTTTTCGCCTTAAAAATGGAAGAGAGAATTGGGTAATAAAACAAAATATATTGCTCCATTTATCAATAAGAAAATCATTTGGCGACAGTATGTATTGCTCAGCCTTTCACATCAACACACACGACATGACGGAATGTTCAGGAAGACTCGTGTGAAGGGAAAATAAGGTCTAGGCAGCCATGGGGCTCCCACGGGGATGGAGCAATTTGCATTTTTGAACATTCAGAAGTGCCATCAATATGGTTTGGGATGAAATCTGCCCATTTTCCACATGGCCTAAAATGCAGCTGGGGATATTTTCAATAAGGAGAATGAACTAATGTCCACCATCATCTCTGGATATGACTATGATTAATTGAGCAGTCCTCAGTATCTCTATCTGGCTCTCTTTTAATGGGAATTGGACCGTTTGTACCATCAGCCCAGGCAAGAATTCTTAGATTTGATGGAATAGTTTATTTGCCTAAAGCACTGATTATCTTCACTTAAAAAGTCATAAATTAATCTGCCCAGGGACATGAATGATGGGAAGTGCCAGCATGAAACCAGGGATTTGACATTAATCATGAAAGTTTAATTAAAACAACGAACTTGTTACCGATCTTCCAGCAACAAAAGTGGAATTCCTTCATGGGTTAGTTACCAATTTAAAGATAACCAGAAGTAGGCCGCAGAAATGTCACCTCTTTTTCATCCTTAGCCTACTGAGATCCACTAACCCTCTCCATCCCCCCAACCCCCGACTCTATAAAGCCCGAGGCTTCGCTCTATGGCACTCGGGCACCAGAAGTTGAATTCTGAATCATTTCAGGAAGACAGAGTCTTTTATTTAAATACACTGAGAAGTCACTAAAGGTCTGTTAGGGATAGAAATGATGATGATGTGAGAGAAAGAATTTCTTGTAGCTAAAATATTCTTCAAATTAGGCGGGCCAGAAGGAAGAAAGCAGACCTGCCTGAGGTATGAAGTAAGATATGTGGGGAAAATACATATGCACAGGGCGCCTGGATGGCTCAGTTGGTTAAGCGACTGCCTTCGGCTCAGGTCATGATCCTGGAGTCCCGGGATCGAGTCCCGCATCGGGCTCCCTGCTCGGCAAGGAGTCTGCTTCTCCCTCTGACCCTCCTCCCTCTCATGCTCTCTGTCTCAAATAAATAAATAAAATCTTAAAAAAAAAAAAAAGAAAATACATACGCACAGATACATGCACACGTGCGCGCGCACACACGCACGCATGCTTCCTTGGTAAGGAAACCAGTGGTATCAATAAGCCCTTGATTAAGGAGAGGACGAGAAATGCGCAGCTTATAGAGAAACTCGAGAAAACAGCAGACAATGAGAGTTTTCTACACTAGGCTCAGGACCAAGTAGACAGATTACAATCACTTTCAATATGGCCTGAAGACCACCATCCTCTAGAGGGCTTACACCAAAGACCCAATGCCTTAGGAAAGCCATTTAGTCACTGAGGTGACACTGCGGTGAGGAGGACATAGAAAGATGAAGAACGGTATAAAGACCAAGGCTGACACGTTGACAAGCAGCTTAGAGACATAATAAATGGGCCTGGTGGGGACACCACGTCTGGGTGTGGAACACAGAAGGGAAGTGAGGTGTGCAGAGCAGGGAAGTCAGCCACCAACAGATGTGAAGCCATGGGAGAAGGAAAGATGAAGAGCAAATGGAGGGACAGCAGGAAAAGAAAAATATATATATTTAATAAAGGAGCTTAAATAAGTCTTCCTATCCATGACTATAACTGAACATACCTCTACTCAGTTTTAGAGTTGCCTTTTGAACACTAAGAAACTAATCTAGAAGTGTCAAAAGGATTAAAAAAAGAAAGCAAAAAAGAAAACAAAAGAACTAATTTAGGAATAAAAAAATTAAAAAAAGAAATTCTCGTCTGATTGAGAATTAGGTGTGTGTGGGTCCACTCAGGTCTTTCCTTCCAAACACGTGTTACTACCTGACTAGTTTCTTACTGACATTTCAAAATGTAACTTGAATTCTGTCTAGAGGTTTGTTATTTACAGTTAGAATTTACAAACCACTCCAGCTTATATACATCCCTCTAATTCAAACCACCTTACCTAGTGCTACTGATAGAAAGAATGACCGTTTTATTTTATGCTCCACTTTGCAAGAGAACTTCTGCTGTGTGTGAAGTCTTTTTGGTATCAAATCCCACACCAACTTGTTTAGATGAAACTCTGCTAATTGTCAACATCCGAAAGGCAGAGGTCAAGTGTCTTTGAGGAATCTCACATGTCAGAAATGTGGGTTTGACTCAAGCCCATGGAGGTTGTTGCAGTCTCCCTCTGAGCTCCTGTTTGGTTTCTTTACCTTCCTCCAGATCTCTGCACACAGCCTTTGTCAAGTGGCACCACCCTCCAGGGATCCAAGCTGGGGGCAAGGTTCTACATTCCTGAATCTTCCTCACAATAGCCACTCCCATCGAGAAACTTCTCTGACAGAGGAGTACAGGCTGTAAGAGGCCTACCAGCCCTCCTGCCTGAAACTGCAACTCGTTCTTTTTGGAATTTCTGCTTTTCTCATACTGACACAGAATACAGTGCCTGGTCATAAGGGGGCTTTGGTGAACACAGAGGGGGTTTTTGTTAACCGCCAGCAGAGGTACCAGCAGCAGCCCTCTTTGTGAATCAGATCCTTCTGCCAGGCGCTTCAGAAGGGAGAGGGACAGCAAGGAAGGCAGCTCAGAGGACCAGGAGGTGGGGAAGAGAGCAGAGGCTCAGTCTGGAGTAGTGGGCTACCTGTGAGCACAACCAGGAGAAAGTCGGAAGAAGCACCCCATCCGTCTTTGTCCTCTTGCCCAGGACAGGGACCCAACAGGCTCTTCTTCCACCGTGTGTCCTTCCAGGCGCTTGGCCACCATCTCTCCCACTTCCTTTCCTCAGCCCCGTGCATTTCCCGGCTCACCCCAGCCCTTACATTACGCTTTCTGATATTTCTCCTTCATCTCCTATACTCTCAAACACAACAAACATTTATGAAGCCAAACCATTTGCCAATAAAATCAGATCGCAGCCCCTGCACAGGCAATGCTGTTCCCATGGACCGCAATGTGCTACTGACCACCAGGCAGGTCAACTGATCCACAGGGTCGCACTCATCTTTCTGATGGAAAGCAAGCCACACAGGTGGGCGGGTAGGGCTTTGACACAGAAGAACCTTTATGTAGAATCCTTGAACTGTTTCACATTTGATGCATTGAGCCGATTCATACAGTGGCCTTCTTCCAAATGCTAAGGGCAGTAGAGCACAGAGAGAACCTTTACACCTACACCCGTTAAAATTCCAGACTTGGAAACCAAAACCTTTGGTAGCAATGAGCCTTATGAAATTAGGATTTAGGACATGGGCAGGTTTGGGTTTGAATGTTGGCAGAATTACGTACTAGCTGTGAGACCTTGGGGCAAGGGACCTAATTTCACTGAGCTGCTCTTGTAGGACAACCTGATTTCCAAGGCCCCGTCCAGACTCAAACTTACCTAGAGTAGGCTAAATAAATATCCTCCCATTTAAAAGAAAAAGCAATTCTCCCATGTAAAAGAAAAAATAATTTAGTTTTCTAAGGAGATACAGCTTTATAGATTAAAAAAGAACAACTGAATGAACAATACTACAATACTAGTAATACTACGATTACAATGACTATAATAACGGTACTCAGCCTGGTACAGATTTTCATTCATATCCTCATTCCCTTGTCTGATCTACAACAATGAAGCCAAGTTCCTCATGGTTATTATAGTGATTATTTAACATTTAAAGGGGACTCATCATTAATAAAAATGAGAAGCAAATCAAGACTACTTTTATGTCGGTCAGTCAAGCTGACAGTGATAAGCACTTGCTACCCCCCACACTGCTCTGCTCGCATTCCAAGTGATCCACCTGATACAAACATGGTAAGTGTATTTTCTTTCACATGCAAAATGTTTTTGTCACCTGGTTTTGAAATAGAACAAATGCCTGTAATAATTGTGATTATAGGAGTGCCTCGTGGGAAGTTTGGGAAGATGAATGTTTTTTAAATACTGTTATTCCTTACTGTGCATGGAGGAAATACTTAGATGGAAAAATGGCTATCATTTCAGTGTATTAGGGCTCAGTCACCTGAGCACTCTCCAGCCCTGGGGCAGAGAATCCACAGGGGGAGCCCAGCTGATAGACCCTTCCGGCTTGTCAGCTAATGAGGTGGGCATCCCTGGGACTCTGAGGACCAGCACCCAGCAAAAGCAAGGATGGCAGGAGAGTAAGAGAGATCCCACCTGAGCCGAAACCATGGGCATGCACCCCCCCCCCACCCCTTTCATAGAGCCCTAGATCTACACAGTACCCGACAGGCTACTTAGCCTAGCAGCCAGGCAAAGTAAGAGTGAGCTTTCCATTTTTCAGAGGAAGAAACCATCTGGTCCACGACTCCCCTGGGAAGTAGCAGAACGAATACCGATCCCAGGTGTGACCCCTCAGCCCAGTACTCCTGCATCCGATCATCTTGCTCTCAGCTGGGGAGCTCTGGGGTAAAAGTCCTGGCATCTCCTGCAGCGCCTCCCTTCCCAGTCGTCTTGCCACACGGTAAGAGGGCCACGCGGGCTGAGCAATGCCTCCCCCACCCGGCCGGCGGCGGCTTCCCGAAGGGCTGCCGTGGGTGAGCGGGAGAAGCCGGGGCGGTGTTGCGGGGAGGGGCTTGCCAAAGGAGTGGGAGGCCGCGCTCTCAGCCCGGGCTCCGTCCGTACCGGGGCAGGGAGCTGTACTGGCGCTGCGCCTGCTGGAAACCTTCGCGCTCCTCCTGCCGCTGGCGCTGCATCTGCACCTCCACGGACACCGAGTGCCGGCCGCTCTGCGCCGCCGCTCTGGAGTTTGGCTGAAGGACGGAAATGCGAAACGGTTAGCAAGAGAGGAAGCATGGAGAGCGCGTGCCGGGTTGACCCAATTTCCATGCTTAAGGATCGACTCCGAAGCACGTTACAGAGGCTGCGACTTTTCCCAAAAGTCCACTGCCATGTGCTCGAGTGTGAATAAAGAGGTATCACTCCCCTTGCTCTTCTGAGCCCCAAATCCTCAAGCATCTTAAATTTTGATTATGGCTTGAGGACGGTCTGAAATTGAGAGGTCAACTTTTCTCGTCTTCCTAATGAGGTTTGGTAAATACCAGCATTACATACCGCTTTGTATCCCTTGTCTGTCCAGCAAACATAGGGGAGCGAGGCTGCTCAGCAGACCAGAAGAAGCCAAGGCCAAAAATAAGTCAGTCAATCAAGATTTGCTACAATAATTCACAAAAGTGGGAAAGTCCTTGAAAGTTGGCTGTACTGGTGAATTTTTTTCAGCAGTTACATATTTTAGTCTAGCAATAGACTACCATATAGCTGATTCCCCTTTTATTAAAGGATGACAGTTAAATTTTGAATGGAAATCGGCTGAAACCAGGCACTGCTAGCCACGGACAGGTCTCCTCCAACCCACAGATGGCGGCCACATGGGAACGGAAACGCTCATCAAAAGAACAAACCCAAAAGCTAATAGCTACTTGAATGGGTTATGAGATAATACATGTTGCCTTACTTATTAGGAAATGGCATTTTTTTTTTACCTGGGTTAATTATATTCTATGGAGAAACTTTCACTCCCTCTGGCTAAATACACTGGTCAGCAGGTCATCTGCTGATTGCTGCCTCTCAGCAAAATCAGATATTGGCAGCGTATGGTGTGCTGTGCGGATCAAGCCCCTGTGGATGCTTCAGCTTCTCACTGACAGTTTTTAGCTTACCTTACCTTCTAGATCTGCCCTTTTAAAATGAAGGTAGCTCTGCTCAAAATAGACAACGATGCCTCTAACTTTACAAAACACTCAACAGTGGTTGATCTTAGCATCGGTAGCATTCACTAAGTAATCCATCTTGGCACTGGCAGACCTCTGTTCCCCTCTGTGTTATGCAACATTGTGCAACAGGCATATTCTGCGTGAAGAATGTCTCTTAAAAACAAGCTATCGATTTTCTTTGAGAGTTGAAAACCAATGGCAGACTTTGACTCGATACTAATTTCCTAAAATAACAGAGTCTTCGCATTCGTTCAGAGAGTTGTAAGATAACACGTGGGCTTGCTACTTAAGGAGCGGCTCCTGTGGTTGGCTTTTGTGTGAACAGAAAGCAAGCATCGCCTATTGTTCTCTTTCTGCCTGGCCAGCGTTCTTTTATTTGTTGGTAAGCAATAATAAGGCAATATATGGGACAAAAATTTCAAAGCATATGGGCATAGTCAGTGAGCATATTAAAAATATCCCGTTACAAAAATAATATGTGAAGAGATTAGGCTTTACAATACCCCAGTCTCTACTAGTGGATGTTTATAACCACACTCACTGGAACAAATGTGTGTTCTGAGACCCGCTCCACAACACCGTTCAAATAACACATGAGTGGTGCCTTCAGCAAGGAGAACACTTTGCTGAGTGAGTTCTGCTTATGCAAACAAAGCATCAACCAATTGTTCATCTACTCCATTAAAGAAGACAGACATTTTCTTCCATTACACTCGATGAGGCTGGCCAAAATGAGAACTGAGCGGTTCTATTGTTCATGGTGAGGCATGGGAAGCTTGAGAGAAGCCACTGGACAGAGGGAAAGCAAAGCAAGAAAATACTACACAATTGCCTTTACACCCTCAAAAAAGAACCACATTTCCCTTTCCTTTTCACTCAGTATAAGCTATATACATGTGTCAAGCGGTCTTGAAAGATCTGGCATGCTGCAGTAGGATTTAGTAACCAGCTTTTTAAGCTCATGCTGTTCTGTGACACACTGCTTGTGGAGATGTGAAAAGAAAATGCAAGGTCTTGTAGAAATTTCAGGTGTATTTTTAAGTTGTTTCTCCCAGAGGCCTGAAAATCTGATTCTGACAGAAAAAAAAGAAGTTGTTGAAGGGCTTTTGTTTCCTCCAGTGTTTGGTTTCTGACACTGTTCATCTCAAACCTTATCAGTGGCGAGCATCTAGCTCGATCTTGATGAACTCCAATAATAAAATTATCATCACACGGGATCGGAAAATTTAACGTGAGTGAATGAGTTTGGTATCAGCAAACTGATACATGTCATATTAGTCTGCCCACTACGATGAAATATAAACCTTAGCCTTACCATGAATATTTTATTCCATTTCTCTTTTTAAAGCATACAAACGGGTAGGTTCTTAAAAAGAATCACCTTTGTCTTTAAGATGAAACGTTACTGAGCCGCAGATTTCCAGGAAGATTGTATACATGAGCAGCCCAGAGCAAAAACTAGGTAAATTCATCCTGGCAAGTTTCGTACTTGGCCCGAATCAAAAATAACCTAATTCATGATTTCAACGATGATCGCATAAAAATGTAAATTCAGGAACAGTATTATCATGGACAATCCTGACTTTTAAATTCTGTGGTTTCCATCTCTCTGGCAGATATAGAATAATTTTTCTGGAGTCCAAAATCACAAAAATAAGGAAATGAAGAAAGGTTACAAATTATGTAACCCCAGAGAGAAGGCAGGTTTTCAAATAAAACAGTATCAACAACCACAACAACAAAGTAACATGTATACAGGGAAACACACGGGTAAATTATAGTTGTAATAATTCTGGAGATTTGCCAGACGATAAGGCAATAGCTCTGTTTTTAAGAGTGCAAATTACAAATAACCTGGCCTTGTTTGTGAGGAAATTTGTGACAAGCAGTGACCTTTCAAGTAAAAAAATAGCCAAGGTTGCCAAGGCCATAATAATGTAGAGATTGTAAACAGAAATGAACACATGGTTATCTATTGCACAGTACACTGGAGGGCCACGATAGGTGAATCTCTTCATGGCTCATGTTTGAAACCACAGTGAAAACTATGTTACTTTCGGAAGTGAGTTGCAAAGTGCTGGTCTTTATCGTGATTATAGAGAGATACTATTTATACCGTACCAACAACCATATAAAGTTTGGAAAAGCTACACAATTTGGCTATCATTTACTAGTGTAAAACAAAATATCAAAAATACCTTCTACACAGAGTTTTTATTACATTAAGTCATTAACTAAGCATTTTTCTCAGTTAAACAAAATCATTCTTCTTCTTCCAAAGTAAAACTAAACAATACAAAAAATAAAAACACAAAACCAAAACTGTTAACAGTTCATAGACTAAAGAAAGAACAAAAATAAATACACACCATACAATGTTTCAGTGCCAATTAGAACTAGGCAATATTGTAAGACTTTTAGAGCTTAATATACGAGTGCATGTGGCAACTGCTAATCTTGGTAATTATTTTCTGTAGCAGACTCATTGGAAACTTTTAATCAAGACAAAGTTAACTTTTGTCTATCGATCCTGCCTTCACAGCCCTGCCCCTCTACCCCATCACCCAAGATACTTTCACAACTATCGATCGAACTCTTGCGGGTTCTGAATGTTGAAAAGCTTAATTGCTACTGATGATGTGAGTAATGCTTGAAAAATCTGCAGAGGATACCAGTTTCCCTCATAAAGTTTTTATAAATACATGTTTGATTTTTACACACTGTTTGTCTCTATCTCCTCTTTCCCAACCAGTGACTGGATCTATTTCCCCCCCTCCTTAAACAGCAGGTAGGTTGAAAATAGAGGCTGGCTCTACAAAAGAAGCCAGCTCTCTACTGTCAGGTGCTGATGATGATCCAAAGCAGCTTCACTCATTTCTACTACCTGACACCTCTGTGGGTGGCATGGCCCACCGGTCATGGAGCCCTTGGCTGGGGGGACGGGTCCTGGGGCTACAAGAAAGGGGTCTACTTTGCAGCAGCACGGAGGCTTTGGCCATGAGTAAAGGGCCCCCCTTTGCTGCAGGAATGGCTTTCTCCAGGTCAACTTCCAAGGGAGGTGTTTTCCACCCAATGTGAACTGCAAGGCTATCAACCAAGAAGGCATTTGTCGAGTCAAGGCATGGGGCCCCATTATAAGGAAATCACAGCAGATACCCTTGAAGTCTTAAGAAAGATGAAAAAAAAAAAAAAAAAGCATAATTTGCTCAAATTCCCCAGGTACAGGGAAGGCATTCTTGGGGTGCGGGGTGGCTGTGTACTGCAGACTGGCTTGCTAATTAAAAAGGGAAGAGGAGCCATTAAAAGTCCAAGACAGAAAAATGGAGAAAAGGACAGATTTTGTTGTTGTTGTTGTTTAAAGACAGCTAGGAAGAAAGCTTGGGGGAGAAGAGGGTATTCACATCGCAGAGGATCAATTTTCCATCTGAAGGACTAACCTACTTTCAGTCACTACCAACCCAGGATGGAAAGGATTTAGCAATATAGCTATTAAAGGTTCCATTATCCCATCTATCAACCGCCTCAGCCAGCAAGTCTCCTTGTGGGCAACATTCAGGTATCTGCAAAGTTTTAACAGCATACTGTACTTATGTCTGCAGCCTGCAATTTAATTCTCTTAAAAGCAACACTAAGTCCTGTCCATATCTGAGCCCTGTGATAATAACCCTAACCTCAGCTATTTTTCCATTATCTTAAGAAAGATTTAAAACAACTTGCTGCTTTATTTATGTTGCACCTGGCACGACACGGGGGAAGAAGTTGCTTTTTCTCCTTCTTCTTCTTCTTCTCTTACCAAACTGGGGAGAGAATTCACTTTAATTATGGAGCTAAGGAAATTTTCTGGGCCTCTGCTCATCTAAAGACCTTTTGTGCCACAAATCAGCTCCCTCAGGTCTAAACATTATTTTGAACAAAAGCCCAGGAACAGGTGCATTCCACACTACTAGAGTTTAGGGAGAACATTTTGAAAATGGATGAATTGAAAAGGGCTACTTGGATGAATTTTCTGCAGCATCGCTCTCTGTATGTAAAGTAATTGG